ATGTCAAGAGAGGGGTGTGGCAGGGTGATACCATTTCACCGAAACTCTTCAGTGCCACCCTCGAGAACATCATGCGATGACTGGAATGGGAAGGAATGGGAGTGAAGATAGATGGTCGGCAACTACACCACCTCCGCTTTGCTGATGACATTGTTTTAATAACACCAAACATCAGCCAAGCGGCACAAATGCTGGCCGACTTTGACCGTGAGTGTGGAAAGGTAGGACTACAGCTGAATCTTACGAAGACAATGTTTATGAGAAACAGCCTTGTTCCTGAGGCCCCATTCGCTCTCAATGGAACGACCATCTCCGAATGCAACAGCTATGTGTACCTAGGTCGAGAGGTCAACATGACAAATGACCTGGCACCCGAGCTGCGCAGGAGGAAGAGAGCGGCTTGGAACGCCTTCAAGAACGTCGAAGAAATAGCTAAGAGAATGAAGAACCTCCGGCTCCGGGCACATCTCTTTGATTCCACTGTTCTTCCTGCATTAACATATGCCTCAGAGACCTGGGCCCTACGCAAACAAGATGAGAACGCCATTCAGGTCTCCCAAAGAAGAATAGAAAGAGCTATGCTTGGAATATCACGTTTCACTCAAATGAGAGAACGAATCCGGAGTTCTGACATCCGTCGACGATCAAGGATCAGGGACGCTATCTCATATGCCAAGGTGTCGAAAATCAGATGGGCTGGTCACGTAATGAGATTTAAAGACGACCGTTGGACTAGAGCTGTTACTGATTGGATTCCACGGGATGTCAAGAGACCGCGTGGCCGCCCACCTACCAGATGGTCAGACTTCTTTGTCAAGATCATGAACGATCGGTTTGAGGCCCTCCATGTTCCCGGAGCGAAGAGATGCCATTGGGCTACACTAGCACACGACAGGGACAAATGGAGACGTTACTGGCGCCCGCTCGAGCAAATCGACGACTAACGGGAAGTTAAGTGATTAAGTGATTAAGTGTGATTATCACAGCAAAATAAAAAAAATTATATTATTTGTCACTTTATTTCTGTGATATACAACTATGAGAAGATAACGTTTCCCCTAAGAATTCAAACATTGTCAAAGCTAGTTTACAAGTCTTTCAGTAGTAGTTTATCAATGAAGAACAATTTTAAAAGTCTGATTGATAACATAATCACTTGATCACTTGACTTCCCGTTAATCCTCGATTTGCTCAAGCGGGCGCCAGTAACGTCTCCATTTGTCCCTGTCGCGTGCTAGTGTAGCCCAATGGCGTCTGTTCGCTCTAGGAACATGAAGAGCCTCAAACTGATCGTTCATGATCTTGATGAAGAAGTCTGACCATCTGGTAGGTGGGCGGCCACGCGGTCTTTTGACATCCCGTGGAATCCAGTCAGTTACAGCTCTAGTCCAGCGGTCGTCTTTAAATCTCATTACATGACCAGCCCATCTGATTTTCGACACCTTGGCAAATGAGACAGTGTCCCTGATTCTTGATCTTCGATGGAGGTCAGAACTCCGGATTCTTTCTCTCATTTGAGTGAAACGTGATATTCCAAGCATAGCTCTTTCAATTCCTCTTTGGGAGACCTGAATAGCGTTCTCATCCTGTTTGCGTAGGGCCCAGGTCTGAAAAGCAGGAAGAATAGTGGAATCAAAGAGATGTGCCCGGAGCTGGAGGTTCTTCGTCCTCTTAGCTATTTCTTCAACGCTCTCGAAGGCGTTCCAAGCCACTCTCTTCCTCCTGCGCAGCTCGGGTGCCAGGTCATTTGTCATGTTGACTTCTCGACCTAGGTACACATAGCTGTTGCATTCGGAGATGGTCGTTCCATTGAGAGCGAATGGGGCCTCAGGAACAAGGCTGTTTCTCATAAACATTGTCTTCGTAAGATTCAGCTGTAGTCCTACCTTTCCACACTCACGGTCAAAGTCGGCCAGCATTTGTGCCGCTTGGCTGATGTTTGGTGTTATTAAAACAATGTCATCAGCAAAGCGGAGGTGGTGTAGTTGCCGACCATCTATCTTCACTCCCATTCCTTCCCATTCCACTACCTCCACTACCCAGCCACCGCCACACTCCAGGACGCTTTCTGGACCCATGTGGCCGCTCCGGCCGAGACTCACGCACGACTGAAGCCCCACAGAACAAGATAAGCGGAACTCTCTGAGACCTTGGACTCCAGGCTCAACGGACCCAGAGACAGAGATTCTCTGCTTGCTCCCACCAATCACAGGTGACAAAGGGATTCTAATCAGGAGCCCCACCCTACCCTGCCCTGTCTGCTTCCACCAACCACCAGAGACCCAGGGATTGGATTGTGCACAGAAGACCCACCCTACCCCTACCGGGACCAGATAAATACCTCACTGGCAGACCTCCACTACTGACACTATCTCCACTACCCAGCCGCCACCACACTCCAGGACGCTTTGCGGCTGCGCCACACATTATAAGACATTAAATACCCATCTTCCGGAATTGCCGTACCATATTTGATAGGGTTCAAATATGGTAACACCTACGAGGGCGATTAGAGGTCGCCCCAAAAGCCTCTATCCCTCTCGGAAAGCCTGGCAAGCTACCGAGAGTATTCCGCCCGCACAGCAGAGCCTCTCAAGCTATCCATTGTGTATTCGATATGTCAAAATCAGTAATTACAATGGGTCTCATTCACCTGACCCTTGAAGGCTTCACCAATATGGCAGCATTGAGAAGGATAACATAATGTTGAGGGGTTTTTTTTCCAGTTTTGGAGCCACACCTGGGGGTGTTCAGGGCTTACTCCTGGTAAGCTCGGGGGACACATAGGGTACCAGGAATTGAACCCAGGCCAGCCACGGGCAAGGCAAGTGTGTTACCCACTATATGCTCTTCAGCCCCTAATATCACAATTATTAACACAATTATAGCACAATTAAGACACTGATTTAGTAGTTCCCTTTCTCATACATATTCAAAATTTCTTTAACTTCTGAGAAATACTTTATGAAGAAATGCCAAAAGTTGCACTGGGGAGATAGCTCAAATGGCTAGGACAAATTAACCTGAATTCAATTCTGAATACTATACATATTAACTTTACAATGTGAAATAAATTATTGGGGCCGGAGCTATGGTACTGCAGATAAGGTGTTTGCCTTACAGGTAGCTGACCCAGGTGCAATTCCTGGCATCCCACATGGTCCCCCCACAGCACTGCCAGGAGTAACTCCTGAGTGCAAAGCTCAGCAGTAACCCTTGAGCATCACCAGGGGTGATCCAAAAACCCAAAACAAAATAAAAGGGTGGAGCACATGCTTTGCATGCAGGAGACCTAGGTTCAATCCCTGGCACTGCTTGGTCCCCCAACATTGCCAGGTGTGACCCTCAAAACAAAAAGTAAAAATGACTTTTCTTAACATTTCCCAATAATAGGAATGAAAGTATTCAGTATTCAGTTCACAGTGACTCTCTTCTGGAGAATTTAAAGATAGAAAAAGGCTGGATTGTCTAGGATCTTCTTCTTAGGCAGCAGTTCTTACCTCTTTAACTGGGAGCCACACCACCATGGTAAAAAGATACATTTTATTACATATATACATGGGTAGGGCGTTTACCTTGCATGCGACCAACATGGCTGACCCAAGTTCGATTCCTACGCCCCTCCCGGAGAACCGGGCAAGCTACTGAGATTATCTTGCCCGCACAGCAAAGCCTGGCAAGCTACTCGTGACGTATTCGATATGCTAAACACAGTAACAAGTGTCACAATGGAGATGTTACTGGGCCCGCTCAAGCAAATCGATGAACAACGGAAGGACAGTGACATATATACATTCATTTTATATGTATATGTATATGTATATTATATATATATGTAAGCTTCACAAGACAATGTTTACTCTAGTTTCTGATACTTGGGGGGCCACACCCAGAAATGATAAGGAGTTACTCCCAGCTGTAGCCTCAGGGGACCATATAGTACCAGGGATTGAACCAAAATCAGCACGAGCCAGACAAGTGCCAGATAACTCCTATATGATCTTCTCTGGCCCTCTAATTTCTATTTATTACTGTTCTTCCATTGTATTTTTTAAAACAGTAGTCACAGCCCCTACATTTATTTCAGGTAAATAGCTGAATTTGAACTACCTCACACTGAATAAATGGCAGGAATGAAGAGATCCAAACCCTATACTTCACAGCCCTATAGCCTGGCCTCACTTCCCTTCACAAGAACGGGAAGAGAACAAGCACACAGACCCACGTCCTCCAAGTGAGCCAATGTGTCTCAGCAATTACCTGGGATTGCATGTGTGATTTATTTAAAAGGGAGCAGAGAGAAGAGGCACATGCAGTATTCTTGGTTAAAAGAAAATTGAACTTTTGGGGACTGAAGAGATAATACAGCAGGTAGGGTACTTGCTTTGCACGTGATCAATGAGGATTCAATCCCCAGTACTTCATAAGGTCCCGCAGCAACACTAGGAGTGATTTCTGAGTGCAGAGCCAGGAGTAGCCCTTGAGCATCACCAGGTGTGGTCAACAAACAAAAGAAAGAAAACTGAAAGTTTCAAAATCACTAAATTATTTGCAGAAACCTTGCAGAAACCCTTCCAGTATGTGAATGTAGAAATATTCACTACAAACTATAAATCATAAATTACTATAAAATCAAAACCATGAAAGTGCCACAAAAACCTTTAATATTGATCATTCAAAGCTTTACAATTTATACAAATTTTTCAATATTCTGCTTGATTATAAATGCAAAAGGCATCACAACCTCCTACAAATCTTATAAACATACCTTCTAAATCTTCTCTCCAACTAAAAATATGTACTTCCCACACAGGACCAGAGATCTAGTATAGCATGTAGGGATGCTTGCCTTGCACGCAACCACTGACCAATGAGAGTTCAATTTCTGACACCTCAGATGGTCCCCTGGGTTTGCAAGGAATAATCCTTGAGTGTCAAGCCAGGAGTAACCCCTAAGCGCAGTCAGTTGTAGTCCAAAAATAAAAAACCAACCGAAAAAAACCATTCTGCTCTCGGTTCTTACTAATAAAAAACAATTACCAAGTGAAATGATAAATCGTATGAACTTGCAGGTTCTTTAGATACTGATTAGTTTGAACAAATTGGTGGTATTAAACCAAAAACCTAGATTTCTCATTTCATAAAAATATGTATCCTCCCACTAGCATTACCTCCAGCCAAAATATACTGAGTTGGGTGCATAACAATGATGGAACACACAGAGGCCAGGAATTTATCAGTAAAAGCATGCACCAGCTCTCCTGTCTCGTGGAAGATTTCCACCCGTCGTGGATAAGCCATGTTGCCAATTATTATGCAGTCTTTTTGTTTAGGGTCCCACACGGCTTGGAATCTGATCAGCCATCGCTTTGTGATCATATGGGGCCTAGTGAAAGAACAATTTTTTAAAAGGATGGTTAAGCAACTCATGGTAGCAACAGAGGGTCAAGATGGCATTGCTCCTGAACACTGTTTTTTCTCTATCAACTCTATCAAGTTTCTTATCGGAGTGATCTAGTTACCACAATCTGATCTCATCCTTAACTATGAAACAAACTCAGGATACAATGACAATATAATCTTTGAATATCCTAGACAAGCAGAGTGCTCAGTACATAGCACTTAAGTTCTCTGCAGCAATAGCATCTTTTACCTCACTGTTTTAGATTAATAAGAATATCCCCCCCCCATTTTAAAAAATTATAACATTCAAACAAAAGCCCTAGAAATGAAAAATCTATGTTATGGCTGTTTTTTCAAGAATACAAAATACTTTCAGTATTTTTGTTCTTCTGATAAAAATAAAACTTTGAAATTGCTTTATATTCCATACAACTTCAAAAAAATACAGTTGAGGGTCAGAGAGCTAGTACAGGATATAAGGTGCTTGCATTATAGGTGGCTGACCCCGAATTGATCCCACCACCACATATGATTTCCCAAGCATAGTCAGGGTTCCCTGAGCAGAGAGCCAGACACAGCCCTGAGCATGACTGGGTGTGACCCCTACTCACCCCCCAAATACATCTGGGAATCAAAGAAATCTCAAGGAAAACTTGAAAATATATGGAAACAAATGAAACCTCAACATCTGACAATGTATGGGAAGCAGTGTATAAGAGAAAAATTTATAGCAAGAAAAACATGTTTTAGTATTTAAATCAACTGAACCACCTCAAGCAACTGAAATAATAACATATTAAACCATAAAGTTAGCAGAAGGAAGCAACTACTAATGATTAAAACAGACGAATGAAAGAATAGAAAGACAACAAAAATAAACTAAGGAGTTGGCATTTTGAAAAGATCATCAAAATTAACAGGCCCTTAATTAAAGAAAAAGAATGTATAAAAATCAGAAAAGAAGGCACATATGATGCCACAGAAAGAAAAATTAATATTCAGATGGGTCCTTCTTCCACTGCTGGTGGAAATGTCTGTCTACTGGTCCAGTCTTTTTGGAAAACAATATGGAAAATTAGGGAATTCAGCTTTCATATGACCCAGCAATTCCACTTCTTGTCATCTACCATAGGGCCCAAAAACTATCTAGAAAAGACATTTGGGCACCTATGTTCATTGCAGCACTGTTCAAATTTCCAAAATCTGAAAACAACCCAAGTGACCAAGAACAGATGACTGGACAAACAAACTATGGCACTGCAATACTACTCGACTTTAAGAAAAGAGGAAATCAGACAATATGCTGCTATGTGGATACATATGTAAAGAACCATGATGAGTGAAGTTCGTGAGGCAATCTCAAAACCACAGGGAAGGGAAAGGATGGAAAGGAGAGGAAGGGGAATGGGAAGAAGGAAAGGGCGGAGGAGGGGAGGGGACAGAGGGGAAGAGAAGTAAAAACAATCATTTTTAAAAATGCAAAACAGAATTACTATTTGATCCATCCAAATCCCCCTTATAGGTATATATCCAAAAGATTCCAAGCATGGAGTTCATGCCCAATTCAATCAGCTTAATCAATCAGTGGCAGTGCTCCTACATTATAAAAAAAAAAAAAAAGATTCCAAGCATATCTTAAAGAGATCTGTGTGTGATCATGTTCACTGTAGCATTCTCACAGTACCCAAGAGGGTAGAAACAACCTAGATAGCCTCTGTTGGCCTGGAAAAAACAAGTACAAATAAATAAGAATTCAAGATGCTTAATTAGCAGTTAAGTTAGTCTTCTTTATAACATGAGTAACTTAGGTTAAAGTCATTTACCTTAACAGAAATAACCTTCCACCTACAGAGAACAGCCAAGTATATAAAGAGATTGACTTTTTAAATACAGGGAATCTAGATGCAAGAGCTCTTTTGAACAAGACAGAAACTAGAAACCTGGGAAATTTAAAGAATGCAATTCAAAGATCAGAACTCTGAATGTCTTTGATAGTCCAATGTCTAGTGTATACACTCTAACAAGGGAACTATGCATATACACTACACTTGGTATATAGAAACCTACCTTATAATGGTAAAAAGAGGAATCCTAGAGGACATACAGCTGCTATCAAAGATTCTGCAAAATAATAAAGAATAAAATAATGGTCTTTTTACTATTCTTAAATTTTTTCTAAAATAACAACAATGCATTTAACAAGCATGTTATGATATGAAATATGATTATTTAAATATACAGGATCTATTTACAAAAAAATTCAGTCAGTAAAACAAGGAGAGGGTCAGAGAGATATTATAAGAGGTATTGCACTTGCCTTGCATACACTGCTTTTGACAACCCTGGTTCAATCACTAGCACCCCATAATGCAGAGCCAGAAATAGCCCCTGAGCCCAACAGGATTTTGCAAAATTCAGTGCTTATAGTTTTGTGTGGAAATAGTTTGTTTAAACATTATTACTCCAAATTTAAAATTTACATTCTAATGTTCTTCCTGCATTAACATATGCCTCAGAGACCTGGACCCTACGAAAACAGGATGAGAATGCTATTCGGGTCTCTCAAAGAGGAATCGAAAGAGCTATGCTTGGAATATCACGATTCACTCAAATGAGAGATAGAATCCGGAGTTCTGATCTTCGTCAACGCTCAAGAATCAGGGACGCTGTCTCATTTGCCAAGACATCAAAAATCAGATGGGCTGGACACGTAATGAGGTTTACAGACAACCGCTGGACTAGAGCCATTACTGATTGGATTCCACGGGACATCAAAAGATCACGTGGACGCCCACCTACAAGATGGTCAGCTTCTTCGTCAAGACCCTGAATGATCGGTTTGAGGCTCTGCATGTTCCTAGAACGAACAGATACCATTGGGCTACGCTAGCACGCAACCGGGATGAATGGAGACGTTACTGGCACCCGCTCGAGTAAATCGATGAATAACGGGGATTAAGTGATTAAGTGAAAGTGATTACCTAGATTCTAAACCTATATTCAGATCCACAGCAACAAGTTTTAAAGGATGTAGTAGAAAATGGACAAATAATAACTTCTAAGTACAGGTACATATCAAGGGTAATTTCCCCATGAGACATATCGATTAAGGATCTGATAGTATAATTTCCAGGGGATCAAGGCAAAAATCCTACCTACTGTACTACCACTCCAGTCCCTCCCTCTTCTTGAGAAGACTGTACTCTTCCCAAGTAGCAGGTCTAAACAGAAATCAGAAGCTTTTTAAGAGAGTGGTCCACAGATACTTAATAATAAATGAATTCTAAAATCACTTTACAGATTTTAGAAACAGAGAAAGGCTTGTAATGTTAAGCAAAATCAGGGATTCTAAGAAGAAAACTTCACTTTTCAGTTTAAGGTTTAATGCTTGTCACATCTATTTTTACAGGTATTATTTCCTATATTATTTTTTATATTACACTTTTTCCCCAAGGCATATTCATTTATTTATTTATTTTTTGTTTGGGGGCCATACCCAGTGGTCCTCAGGGGTTACTCCTGACTCTGCACTTAAAAACCACCCTGGCAGGCTCAGGGAATTATTTAGGATACCAGGGATCAAACCCAGATTGGCTGCTTGCAAGGCAAGTGCCTTACCTGCTGTATAATTTCTCCGACCCCTACATTAACTTTTAAATACACTTTCAGGAAATAGCTGAGGCAAGATACCAAAACTGTAATCTTGCAGCTAGTAGTTTGTATAGAAGTTTAGTATAAAAGCCTCGTTTCCATTATCTTTTCTGTCTGTCCATAACTTGGGACTCTATAACTTGCTCTCAACCACAGGGACTGGAGAGATAGTAAGCAGGTAGGACACTTGCCTTGTATGCAGTCAACCTAGGTTTAATCCCCAGCATCCCATATAAACCACAGAGAACTGTCAAGTATCTCCAGGTATAGCCCAAAGACCAAAAATAAAAAAAATTTTAAAACCCTGCAGGTCACACCCCTGCCATTAAAGTAAGCTACTCGCTATGCTAAAATGATTTCCTATGCAAGATAGCACAAAGTCTCGTTTCACTGGGACTTGGAAAAGACAGAAACTCTCCAGGGTAGATTCAGATCCTCCTTGCCAATCTCAAAGAAATTTTCAGGCCCCAAACTGCTGAAAATCCATCAAGTACAAGTCATTGATCCCTAGGGACCTAGACATGGCAACTAAACCGTAACACTAATAGTTTCACATTAATTAGTTTCACAATATTTCTGGTTTACTGATACAGTGGCTAGAGACTCTAGATTCTGTAACACATTTTTTCTTTCCAATTTACCTCAGTGAACAATCAGCACACGTGGTCACTACTCTGTTACCAGTAAGAGGTGAAAAGTAGGCAGAAGAAGGGCTCTTCTTATGTCCGGTCAAAGAAGTCAAAGGCTGACTTCTCTCTGAATTTAGGTACCTTGCATCATAGATATTAATACCTCTGTAATGAGAACAAGTATGCCCAGTGTTGCCATTCTAGTACATGGTGTGATTCTCTATAGTTTTGAGGGACTGGAGTGATAGTTCAGCCAGTAGGGCATTTGCCCTGCATACAGTCAGCTCAGGTTCAATTCCCAGCATTCCATATGGTACCCTGAACACTGTCAGGAGTGATTCTTGAGTGCAGAGCCAGATGTACCCCCTTGACCAGAATTGACCAAAAAGAAGAAAAAATAGTTTTTAACATAAATGAGACAATTTTGCTGCATTGACAAGACAGAATCCTCTAATCTTCTGTATTAATTTTACAAACACTGGCATAGATTAAAAAGTATACTAGAAAAAATTCAAAAACTCCTACAGCAGATATAGAAATTTTAAAAAAATAGTGGATAGAGGGGTCAGAGCTAGAATACAGAGGGTAGGATTGTTTTCCTTGCACGCAGTCAAACAGGGTTTGATCCCTAGCATCCTATATGGTCTCGCAAGCACCACCAGGAATAATTCCTGAGTGCAGAGCCAGGAGTAACCCCTAAGCTTTGCCAGGTGGCAGCCCAAAAACCAAAAGCAAAAACAGTGGGTAGAGAGACAAGATTTGGGTGGGCTTTCTAATTTCTCCAAGAAAAAAAGTAAAAGTTAACATACGCAAACAAGTTAAAAGTCATATATGTAACTTTTTTGAAAATCTCTATTGCAATTTAGAGTTTTCTTCTCAATAGGCAAGACAGTTCAAAGGACTGGATTTCACGCTTTGCAGCATGAGGCCAGAGTTGGGTTCCTGGCTCCACATAGTCCTCCAAGCATCACTGGGAGCTACCCCCAAGCACCTAGCCAGAAGTAGCTCCTAAGCACTACTGGATGTGGCAAAAAATAATAATAATAATAATGAAATTTTCTTCTCAAAAGAAAATTAATTTTGGCATTAATCTGATGCCAAGAAAAACAGAACTATGCAGTTGTTTCAACACTTTTGCTAGTAAGTGCAAACGACTCATTTAAAAAGAAATCAGAGGACTGAGTGTGTATAGCAGGTAGGGCTCTTGCCTTGCCTTGCAAGTGGCTGACCCAGATTCAATCCCCAGTGCCACAGATAGTCCCCAAGACCCTCCAGGAGTGATCCCTGAGTGCAGAGCCAGGAATAAGCCCTCAGCATCATGAGGTGTTATGGTCCCAAAACAAAAGCAAATCAAAAAGAAATCTCAGTAGCAGAGAGATGGTATTGAGGTAAAGGTGCTTGCCTTACATGCAGTTGACCTTGATTAGCTCCTCAGCCCACAACGGTGCTCCCAGGCATCAGTAGGTGTAGTCAAGGAGGCCCCACTCCCAACACCACCAAGTATGGTCCTGGTGGTTCCCAGAAGCACCACATCTTTGGGCCCTCACATTGAACCACAGGCCCAATTGGCTGAGAATCACTGAGAAGAGCCCCAGCCTCTCCTGAGTGCTGCTTGGGAATAACCCCCATCAAATAAAAGGTAAAGGTAAGGTAAAGGCCCTCCCGTTGATCGTCGATTTGCTCGAGCGGGCCCAGTAACGTCTCCATTGGAGACTTTGTTGTTACTGTGTCTGGCATATTGAATACTCTCGGTAGCTTGCCGGGCTCTCCGAGAGGGGCGGAGGAATCGAACTCGGGTCGGCCATGTTGGCCGCTTGTAAGGCAAACGCCCTACCGCTGTGCTATCGCTCCAGCCCAGACTAAGTAACTACACCAGTAAAGATAAATGGTTAAATGTGCACCCTATTTAGAAGTATAAATAGACACAAATGTTGGACAGTTAATAAGGGTACATATACCCAAGGGCTACAGCAATAGAACCGCAGGTAGGGCGTTTGCCTTGCATGTGGCCGACCCAGATTCATCCCTCTCAGAGAGCCTGGCAAGCTACCAATAGTATTCCTCCTGCACTGCAGAGCCTGGCAAACTCCCCATGGCACACTCGATATACCAAAAACAGTAACAACAAGTCTCACATTGGAGATGTTACTGGTGCCCATTCGAGCAAATCAATGAACAATGGGAGGACAGTGCTACAGTGCTACATATATCCAATGTTTCATGATTATTCCCTTGTACCCAACAATTCATTTAGAAGCAAGAGAGACTCTAGCAGGTAAAGTGATTGCCTTGCTTGTGGCCAACCCAGGTTCAATCCCTGGCACCACTCGGAATGTTCCCTGAGCACGGAACCAGTAGTAGCCCTGAACATAATTGGGTGAGTCCTGCTCAAAAAAAAAAAAAGATACATAGGGGCTGAAGAGACAGTAGGTAGGGCACTAGCCTTCATGAGGCCAACAACAACAACAACAACAAAAACAAAAATAAATAAAAGCAACATTCTTGGGCAGGAAAGGCAGAACAGAAGATTGGATGCTTGTCTTGCATGCAGCAGACCCTGGTTAGATCCTCAAGAGTGAGCGACACTCCTGAGCACAGAGCCAGGAACAGCCTCTAACCACTGCCCAAAGACCCCACAATTTTTTTCAAAAATTAGATTGTAGTAATGGCTTTAGAATTCTATAATACACTTTTAAAAATCATTAGATTTTATTTCAAAATGGGCAAACTATAGAATTATATCTCAGTAAACTGTTTTTTAAAATGATTACTAAGAGGATGATAAATATAAATGCATTTTTTAATTTCAAAATCTAAATTTAATGAAACAAGCAAATACATAATAGAATAACTTAGATGACTCACAGCTATGATGTTTGGTCACAAAGTGTGACCATTAAACAGCTTGTAAGAAATCTTTATCAAATACTTACTCAATGATTTATAGCCTATTTCTGATAAAGATTTGAAATATCAATATTGGTCTCAAAAACTTACAGAGATCAAAAAAAATAATTACAGAGATCAAAGGGATGGTACAGCAGATAGGCTATTTGCCTTGCACTCAGCAGACCCAGGTTCAATCTCCAGCACCATATATGGGCCCCCAAGCCCTCCACAAATGATCCCTGAGTGCAGAACCAGGAGCAAATTCTGAGCACATTTGAGTGTGCCCCATCTTAATAAATTAAAAAAAAACCTGCTTTAGGGGACAGAGAGATAGTACGGGTGGTGTGGCCTAACTCCCACATCTGCCCCGGCAAAGAAAAATTTTTTAAAAAGCTTTTTTCAAAGTACCAAGAGTTTGCTCAAGGGACTAGAAAACATGCTTTATATATGCAAGAGACTCAGATTTGATCACTAACAGATGGTCTTCTGAGCACTGCTAGGAGCAACCCCTAAGCACCACAAGTTGAGTAGTCCCTCCCCGCCCCCCCCCCCAAATAAAACACTACTGGGTATAGTAGACGCCCCCACCAAAAAATAGAAGATACAGGGTCAAAGAGATAGCTCAAAGAACTGAATATTGCTTTATATTTCCTGCCTCCGTGCCTGGCTGTCCTCACTGGGGCCCCTTGGAGGGAAGCGGGTTGAGTTTCCCTCCCTGCCCCAAGCAGAGCTCCGGCAGCAGAAAACCTCCGGAACCAGCTACAGCCATGCTTAAGACCACTCTCTACACGCTTGGATGAGCCTCACACATGAAGGAACCGACAGAGAAACCCAGGTGTGTCGGAACCAGGGCTGAGATCTCCAAGGCAGCTGGGATCGGGACTGGACCTCCTCCAGCCAGATCCCCCATCTTCCAGTAGCTGGGCCTTACACCCACCAACTACCCCCCCACACCTCCCCCCGCCCCTATGCCATGTAATCCCATCAACGGCCAAGACCCAGAGACTATAAAACCAAGCTCCCGGAAGCGCGCAGCCACATTTGCAGCTGGGTGACTTTTTATTGTCCAGTAACCCGTCAGGCTGCCATGAGTGTCCTGCCCACATGGCAGAGTCTGGCAAGCTCCCCGTGGCATATTTGATATGCCAAAACCCAGTAACAATGATGGGTCTCATTCCCCTGACCCTGAAAGAGCCTCCAATGTGGCACTTGCCAAAATCTCAGGGCTAGGACAAATGGAGACGTTACTGGTGCCTGCTTGAGAAAATCGATGAACAATGAGATGACAGTGATACAGTGATACAGTGATGCTGAAGGCCTGGGTTCCATCCCCAGTACCACATAGTCTTCTGAGCACCACCAGGAATTATCCTGGAGCACAGAGCTGGGAGTAGCCCTCAAACATCAGCACTGTGGACCCAAAAGCACAAAAAGAGAAAAGAAAAAAGAAACACTGTGCCAGAACTCTAAGTTATTTATCTGTATCAATGACTCATCTAATCTACATGATTACCCTATAAGATACTGTTCCATTTCACTGCTAAGGAAACTGAGGCGCAAAGAGGTTACATAACTTGTCACACAAGTAAGTCTGGATTTGAACTCAGGCAGTGTACTTCTATAGTTCCTTTTATATATCATCTTGTCCAATCTAATTGGTAAAATCATTTCATAAAGAATCATGAATATCAATGAAATTCGCAAGTAAACACATTAATATTTACCTCTTCAAAAACAGCTCTTGAAAAATCCCCACACCGTAATGTGCCATCATAGCTCAGAGATAATAAGTGGGCCGGATTGGCAGGTGAGAAGTAAATACTGTTCACTTTCTGGCTATGAGGTTGAAAAACATAAACTCCATCTTTTTTAGGTTCCTGAGTCGAAAGAGAATTAGATGTGAGGAAAAGGAAGGGGGAAAAACGAAAAACTGTAATATTATCATTAAATCATTACATCTTTTTTTTTCTTTTTGGTAAGATGTAACTCGATGCTCACGAGTTACTCCTGGAAATGCTCAGGGGACCATATGGGATGCCAGGGATCAAACCCAGGTCAACTGCATGCAAGGCAAACGCAGTACCATCGCTCCGGCCCAGATCATTATCTTATTGATACACTTTTATCTATATTATCCTTTTATTTATACTTATTTTTTACTTATATTCAGATTTGTTTGTTTGGTTTTGGGGCCACTCCTTGCAGTATTCAGGGCTCACTCTTGGCTGGCTCGGAGGACCAAATGGGATGTGGGGATGGAACCCGGGTCAGCCATGTGCAAGGCAAACGCCCTACTGCTGTGCTCCAGTGCCAGATTTTTCTTCAGTCTATATCTAATATCCCATTCAAAAGTCAGAACAAACCCTCTAAGAGCTGCTGGGAAGCCACAGGGGCTTACTGGAGCTCAGAAAAGTCCTTACCTATATAAACAGAGGACCTAGCCCCTATGTAACCTGCTTAAATAGACTGTCAAGGCAGTGGATATGTATGTGTCAATTAATCCCAGTTCTTTCAGTTTTCCATTTAGGGATCTTGTTTCTTTAATATTCAGTCTGGCTGACCTAATGGTGAAAGTGTGATGTCAAAGTCTCCCACTCAGGTTGTGTTTCCACTGGTGTGCTTTTTAGGTCGGTGAACAATGTCCTTACAAACTTTGCTGCCTCTGCATTTGGAGTATTTAAGTTCGTAAGGGTCAGGAACTTTTGATACACCATCTCAGTCCCAGCGCAATTTCATAAAGTACTGGCACAAAGTGATAAATCCTGGGATCTTTAAAAAAAATTTTTTGGACACAGAATGATCACACTTACCTGTGGAATATAGAATAATGGATGAAGAAATGTAATGTAGTAAAGATAGAGTGCCCAGATCATCCTTGACTCCAGAGTATAGGGAGGAAGACAGAAGAGGAAAGAAATCAAGGGGTGACAGAAAAAGATGAGAAAGGGAGGTCATGGGAAAAGGGGTCAGAGCTCCGGTTATACTGATGATGTGGGAAAGTGGTACAATTAGATTAGTGGTACAAGCCAACAACACTGAAAACATGAAATCTAAGCTGCAACATGAATCACTGCCTGTCAAGGTAGGGGAGGGGGTGGAGAATGGGGACACTGGTGGAGGGAAGTTGATACCAGTGGTGGGATTGGTGTTGAAATATTACATGACTAAACTTAACCATCAATAAGTTTTAATTCACATTTCTCTAAAAATTTAAATATTTTTTAAAATATTGTTTAGGGGCTGGAGTGATAGCACAGCAGGTCGGGCATTTGCCTTGCACACGGCCGGCCCGGGTTCGATCCTTGGCATCCCATATAGTCCCCTGAGCACCTCCAGGAGTAATTCTCAGTGCAGAGCCAGGAGTAACCCCTGAACATTGCTGGGTGTTACTAAAAAAAAAAAGCAAAAAATATATATATATACATATAGTTCGCAGGCTGGAGCAAAAGTGCAGCAGATAAGATTACTTTGCACGTGGCCGACCTGGGTTCCAATTTGTCTGCCCATATGGTCTGCCGAGCCCAGCAGAAGTAATAGTCCTCAGCACCACCAGGTGTGGGCCAAAAGGAAAAAAAAAAGTTTTGCCAGTAGTACTTCTGCCACCATGCAGAGCATCGTATACAGTATTGGGCAAACTAGGTCAGCAGAATGCAAGGAAAGCACCTTAACCACTGTACTTTTTTCTCTGGTTCACACTCCCCACAACCTGTTCCCAGTAAGGTAGAACACGAAGCTCCAATGCCTGAATCACTTGACTGATTTCCCTAGCCACCAGTTCCTTAGGAACTTTTGGGGAGTCAAAAGTTACCTCATTAATATAATGAAATATCTTTTCTTTTTTTTTTTTCTTTTTTGGCTTTTTGGGTCACACCCGATGATGCACAGGGGTTACTCCTGGCTCTGCACTCAGGAAATACTCCTGGCAGTGCTCAGGGGACCATATGGGATGCTGGGAATTGAACCCAGGCTGGGTGCATGCAAGGCAAACACCCTACCCACTGTGCTATCGCTTGCCAGCCCCATATTGAGATATCTTTATCTCTTTCAAAACTTAGGAAATTACAAGGCTCTGGAGAAGCTTACAGAACTAAATGAAGACTAAATATGTGTGGGAGGGCCAGAGAGAGATAGCTCAACAAGCTGAGCTCATGCTCTGCATGAGGGAAGCCTGATTTCATTCCCTACACCGTATGGTTCTCCAAACCCTGCTAGGTATGGCCCCCAAACAAAAATAAATAAAATTATAAAAAATATGAATGAGAAAGTACATATACATAACCACAATTCAGACTATTTTCTTCAAAACTTAATATATTTTTTTAAAAAGTTAATAACTTACCAAATCCCAAAGTCCAACTTGCCCATTTCTGAACCCAGCTGCCACCAAAGTTCTACTTTCTGATGGATGAATAGCCAAAGAGCATGTTGGGCTCTTGGTAACTTTATAAATAGTATCTTCACACAAGACCATACCATTTAAATTGGCTTTGTAGCTGAGAAATTTTTAAAATAAAATTTACATTAAAACCAATCCCAACAGGGGCTGGAGTGATAGCACAGCAGGTAGGGTGTTTGCCTTGCACACAGCCAACATGGGTTCCATTCCCAGCATCCCATATGGTCCCCTGAGCACTGCCAGGAGTAATTCCTGAGGGCATGAGCCAGGAGTAACCCCTGTGCACCGCCAGGTGTGACCCAAAAAGCAAAAATAAATAAATAAATAAACCGGGGGTATGGTGCCGCCAGCAGGTCAATCTGTACCTGTGAGGCGAGTGCATCAGCAGACTCATGGCACCTTCAGACTTCCAGATACTCCAAAATTGCTGCTGTGCCTTTGGCCAGACCCCAAAAACTAGGGGCAAAGTTTACCAAAAAAGTAAACAGCCAAAAGTTAGGTATGTGGGAAACACATCCACAAACCACCTCCGGCTCAGCTATATAATTGGAGGCATTGGCCTCTCTGGTTCCTGATTGAACTGCTTAATGGCCATGATCCCAGAGACTCAGAAACAAATCTTGGAACCCAGCGGCTTTAGGTAGAAATGCGTCCGATCCCTGCAGTAGGCTACTGGTGCTGGGCCAGCCCAGGTGGGAATAGGTTTTGTGCCTTGGCCTGTTCCCCCTGGCGGCCCAGTAGCTGCCATCCTTCAGAGGCCACTGGGCAGTCAGGTTTGGGCCCCCAGTGATGAGACACACAGAGCCTCACGGGATGGGGGTGGAGCCGGTCCTGTCCTCCCCACCCCAATGAGACCTCAACTCATCGCCCACGAACGTCCTCTCTGGCTCCTGATCAAGCTGCTTAATGGCCATGATCCCAGAGACTCAGGAACAAACCTCAAACCCAGTGGCTTTTGGCAGAAATGTGTCCGGACCCCGCAGGAGGTTACTGTCACCGGGCCACCCCAGTGGGGAAAGGGTGCTGTCTCTCTGCCTGTTTCCTTCTGGCGGCTCGGTGGCCATCATCCTCCAGAGGCCACTGGACAGTCAGGCTTGGGCCCACAGTGATGAAACTTGTTGGGCCTCACGGGATGGGGTGGAGCCGGGCCTGTCTCCCCACCCCAACGAGACCCCAAGTCATTGCCCACGAACGGCCTCTCTGGCTCCTCATCAAGCTGCTCAATGGCCATGATCCCAGAGACTCAGGAGCAGATCTCGAAACCCAGTGGCTTTTGGCAGAAATCCCTCCAGATTTAAGTGTTAAAACTTCGGAATTTCAAAACCACACGACCCTACTGCAGCCATGCGACATCATATGTTATTCATAACCAGCAATAGAACACAAATTGTCTGCTGTTGCCTTTTCAGCAGATCTGAGTGTTGGGGTAAAATCTCAAATAATAATGGTGGGTCTTGTGTCGAAATATTGAATGTGACCAAAGTAGAGAGAGAGTAATATGGAAATCATCTGCTCCACAGGTAGGGGGAGTGTGTGGGATGGGGGTATACTGGGGTTTTTGGTGGTGGAGAATGGGCACTGGTGAAGGTACGAGTGTTTCATTGTATGACCGAGACTTAGACCCAAAAGCTTTGTAACCGCTCTCACGGTGATTCAATAAATAAAATTATAAAAAATGAAAAAAAAATCCCGACAGTCAAGGCAAGTAAAAGAAAATTCCCCCAAAATTAATACAATGAATAAATGTATTAATTAAAACATTTAATCTTCTAGAAACTAAGAAAATTTTAAATAGGATATTCTTTTTTCACTTATAAATGCTATTAGTGTATATACATTGCTTGAAGCAAAAAATTCATACAAGATTTTGAAAAATAATTTGGCAATTAGGCTGAAGTAAAAGTACAGCAAGTAGGGCACTTCTCTTGCACACAAATGACCAGGATTTGATCTCCAGCACCTCATATGGTCCCCCAAGCCCTGCCAGGAATGAGCACCCCCCACCAAAAAATTGGCAGTATGTAATAAAAGTCATAAAATGTTCAGAATACTTGATTTATCTATGAATCTATGCTAAATAAATACTTTATCACAAATAACTACTTCCAATAATCATATGCATACAGAAAACCAAATATGAAACTACAAATATGAAGGGAATGAGAAGGGATTAAATAAAACTTACCGGGGGTTTGGTGCCACCAGCAGTTCAATCTGTACCTGCTGGTACCTTCAGGTTTCCTGATACCCCCAAATTGCTGCTGTGCCTCTGGCTGGACACCAACAACTTGGGACCAAGTTTCCCAAGAAATTAAATGGCAAAAAGTTAGGTATGTGGGTGCCCAACCACAAACCACCTCCGACTCAGTTATACAACTCATTTATCAGCCTTGTTTCAGAGACCCATAAATAAATCTCAAAAGAGATCAAAACCCACAGTTAATCTCAGACCCATGAAGGTTGAACAGACCAGGGTAAATTGGAGGGGGACAGGTAAACCTGCTGCCTGCCCAAGCAGAACCTCCATCAGCCGCTTGCTTTCACAATCTAAAATCACTGCCATATCCCCGGCTTGGGTGGACCTCACCCAGATATAATTCAGGTATGAGGGTTTTGTGACGAAAATCTCTAAGCTTTCTTGGTACTGGAACGGGTTACCTCCGCGCACCTCCCTGTACTTCCTAAATCCTTGGCAGTCGCATCCACATAAAAATACTGAATGCACTGAACAAACACAATGACCTCTTAGTACTTGTATTGCAAACTATAATGCAATACAAAAGGAGAGAGAGAAAGAAGAAAGTGCCTGCTATAGAGGAAGATCTGGGTGGTGGAGAAGGTAAGAGGGGGTTGGGGAATGGTGGAGAAAAACAGGAATATTGGTGGTGGGAAATGTACACTGCTGGAGGGATGGGTGTTGGATCATTGTATGACTGAAACCCAATCATAAACAGCTTTGTAATGGTCTACATCATGGATAGTAAATTAAAAATTTAAAAAACAAAAATAATAAAACCCACCAACATAATGAAATATTATGCAAGTATTCAAATATTTTAAAGAATCTAGCAACATCTAACCATGTTAATTAAGAAAGCATAATACAATATTACATAAGAACATAATATACATAAGAACAATACATAAGAATATATAAAAGTGTGTGTGTAAATGGGGTTGGAGAGATAGCAGATAGAGTGTTTGCCTTGCATGTGGCATGCCTTGGTTTGGTTCCAGCACCCTATATGGTCCCTGAGCACTGCCAGAAGTGATCCCTGAGCATAGAGCTAGGAATAAGCCTTGAGCACTGCTGGGTGTGGCCCCAAAACAACGCCCCCCAAAACTTGTGTGGACTCAGTCATTTACTAGGTGCTGATTTAATATATCTCATATGTAATAACTGATCTGGCTGAGAAAAAATATGTGCATTCAGGAGATATGTTTGATATCCTAATGATGCAGATAAATCAAAATACAAGCAGTGACACTATTCCGACACCAGCTGATGAAAGGCAAGGGGCCTATGAGATGAAGCACCACACATTCAGAAAGTTTCAAGATACTAGCAACATATAAGCATGTTAATGAAAAAAGCATAATGCAAAATTATATAAGAACATAATATACATAAGAACAATACATAAGAATATATTAAAAATGTATTGAGTGGGAGGTATGGTGCCGCCAGCAGGTCAGTCTGTATCTGTGAGGCGAGTGCATCAGCAGCCTCATGGCACCTTCAGACTTCCAGATACCCCAAAATTGTTGCTGTGCCTTTGGCCAGACCCCAAAAACTAGGGGCAAAGTTTACCAAAAAAGTAAACAGCCAAAAGTTAGGTATGTGGGAGACACACCCACAAACCACCTCCGGCTCAGCTATATAATTGGAGGCAAGGTCTCTTTGGTTCCTGATTGAACTGCTTAATGGCCATGATCCCAGAGACTCAGAAACAAATCTTGGAACCCAGTGGCTTTAGGTAGAAATGCGTCCGATCCCTGCAGTAGGCTACTGGTGCTGGGCCAGCCCAGGTGGGAATAGGTTTCGTGCCTTGGCCTGTTCCCCCTGGCGGCCCAGTGGCCACCATCCTTCAGAGGCCACTGAATAGTCAGATTTGGGCCCCCAGTGACGAGACACACAGGGCCTCACGGGATGGGGGTGGGGCCGGTCCTGTCCTCCCCACCCCAACGAGACCCCAACTCATCGCCCACGAATGGTCTCTCTGGCTCCTGATCAAGCTGCTTAATGGCCATGATCCCAGAGACTCAGAAACAAACCTCAAAACCCAGCAGCTTTTGGCAGAAATGCGTCTGGACCCACAGTGCGTTACTGTTGCCGGGCCACCCAGGGAGGAAAGGGTGTTGTCCCTCCGCCTGCTCCCTCTTGGCGGCTTGGTTGCCATCATCCTCCAGAGGCCATTGGACAGTCAGGCTTAAGCCCGCAGTGACGAAACTTGTTGGGCCTCACAGGATGGGGGGGAGCCGGGCCTGTCCTCCCCACCCCAATGAGACCCCAAGCCATCACCCACGAACAGCCTCTCTGGCTCCTCATCAAGCTGCTCAATGGCCATGATCCCGGAGACTCAGGAACAGATCTCGAAACCCAGTGGCTTTTGGCAGAGATCCCTCCAGATTTAAGTGTTAAAATTTCAAAATTTCAAAATTTCAAAATCACATGGCCCTACTGCAGCCACGGGACATCATATGTTATTCATAACCAGCAATAGAACACAAATTGTCTGCTGTTGCCTTTTCAGCAGATCTGAGTGTTGGGGTAAAGTCTCAAATAATAATGGTGGGTCTGGTGTCGAAATATTGAATGTGATCAAAGTAGAGAGAGAGTAATGTGGAAATCATCTGCCCCACAGGTAGGAGGAGGGTGTGGGATGGGGGCATACTGGGGTTTTTGGTGGTGGTGAATGGGCACTGGTGAAGGTACAGGTGTTTCATTGTATGACCAAGACTTGGACCCAAAGGCTTTGTAACTGCTGTCATGGTGATTCAATAAATAAAATTATAAAAAATGAAAAAAAAAGTAAGATGGAGTTCATGCACAATTCAATCAGCAAATCAGTGGCTGTATAGCAGTACTCCTACAAAAAAAAAATGTGTTGAGTGGTGCACACACATGCAGAGATAAGGGCAGGAAAGGTTTATGTCATCAATATAAGCAGACATATGAGAAGAAAGAGAAATAAAGACCCAGCTCTCTCAGAAATTAGTGTAAATAAATGTTGTGGTTTTTTCAAAGAAATGACCTAGCTCTATATGGTACTGATAACTCATCTCTAAAATATGGTATAAATTTGGGCATCAAACTGGGCAAGATTTAAGATCATGACCGGACTTCACACCTGTGTCCTGAACGAAGTCTCCTGCAGCAAAGAACCCTGGAACCCCTCCTCAGGAGAAGAGGTTTCTTCCCTACTAACAAACAGCTGTGACAGAATCTTTGAACCTCTATGGCTGTTCTGTTAGCTTGCCTGTTTCCAGAAAAAAAGAGAGGGTTTGTACCCCTGCTCCATTCTCAGACTGCTAATTTGACTATACGATTGTTTTACTGTATTGTGTATTCCCCCCAACAAATATTGTAACTATATGAAAGACTTGAATCGTTAGTAAGTGAAATCTGTCCAGTTTCAGTGGAAAATAGCACTCAAGATCTAAACCTCTTATTCCATGTTACACTTATACCCTATTGATAATGTGCATGACAGCATTTTTTCCTTTTTTTTTCTTGTTTTTTTTGGGGGGTCACACCCAGAGATGCTCAGGGGTTACTCCTGGATCTGTACTCAGGAATTATTCCTGGCAGTACTCAGGGGACCATATGGGATGCTGGGAATTGAACCCGGGTCGGTTGCATGCAAGGCAAACACCCTACTTGCTGTGCTATCACTCCAGTCCCTTTAATTTTATTTTTATAAAGTTGTTCACAATAATTAATTACATCCAATATTCTAATACAACAAAGTCTCCAGTGGAGACGTTACTCGGCCCGCTCGAGCAAATCGACGATCAACGGGAGGGCCATTACCTTTACCTTACCTTATTCTAATACCAATCCCACCACCATTACACCTTCTTACCACCATAATTTGAATTATTCCACCTTGATCCCCAACACCTGCCCCCAAATCAGGACCGAAATAATTTATTATGTATTGTTTGTTGTGAATAATCCTCCAAAGATGATCCAAAACAGTGTATCACCCTGGAGTCATTAAGACCTTGTAGAATATGAAATATCACATGGCTGTGCAGTCCAGGAATTCTAAGATTTTAAATAGGGTGATACAGCTAGAATTAAATTTTTAACTGGATGGTGACTTTGGGATCCAGAGGCATATCTATGGCATGCTGCTCTCTTCCTCTTCTGAGGCTTATTTACACATCTCTGGATCATGGCCATTAATGAGCTTATATGGCACCAGAGACAGTTCATGGGTGTGACCGCCAGACTACCAGGAGCAAAGAGATGGAGGAAGGTCACCCATTCATGACGCTGTGTGAGCCTGAAGATACTGGTCACAAATCCCATATACCTGGTTTTTCAGCAGGTTCTCTCATGGATGAAGCTCATCCATGCCTGTGGAGATCAGCCATGAGCACAGCAGCGATTGAGTTCTGGAGGTTTTCGGCTGCCGGGGCTCTGTTGGAGCAGGTGAAGCAACTCACCTGCCCCACTCCAGGATAATGGGATGGGACAGCTGCTGACAACACTTTAAAGCATATATGCTCATCCTCACACAATAACTTTTTAGAATAACCAGTGATATTTTTTAATATAGTGATTTTTTTCTTTTTTTTTTTCTTTTTTTTTTTTTTTGCTTTTTGGGTCACACCCGACAATGCACAGGGATTATTCCTGGCTCATGCACTCAGGAGTTACTCCTGGCAGTGCTCGGGGGACCATATGGGATGATGGGAATCAAACCCAGGTCAGCTGCGTGCAAGGCAAACACCCTACCCGCTGTGCTATCACTCCAGCCCCAGTGATTTATTTTTTGTTTTGTTTTTTATGCCACACTTTGCAGTGCTCAGGGCCTACTCCTGGCCCTGCACTCAAGGGATCACTCCTGGCAGAGCTTGAGGGACTATATAGGTGTCAGGGATTGAACCTGGGTAAGATGCATGCACGGCAAGCACCCTACTCACTGTACTAATCCTCTGGCCCCTCCAGTGATTTTTTTATCATAATTTTCCATATCATTTATAAAATTAACCTTAATGGTATCTACATCTTTATAAATTGAAGGATCTCAGAAAAGGTAAATCAAAAACAAGGAGTTTAAAACTCACCTTTTTATGCTGGATGATTCTTTCTTGGTACTCTTACTCCTTGTCTAGAACAATAGAAGAAACCAAAGTACTACGTTAATATATGCACTGAAAACTCTTTAATATATCATCCCAAAAGCTGTCAGCCTTCTACCTTATTCACTTCTTCCCAAATGTGTAGAAATCCTTTAAATAGTTCACTATTTTCAAGAGACATTTCTATAGGTCCAGGAGGTAATGAAGGCTGTTATTAAAAATAAGAAAAAAAGGTTGACTGCTGCTCTGCCCAACAACATAAGCTTCTTAATATTCTTTACTTCAAATATCAATAACAAAGGTGACAAATGTTAGCATTTAAAGACAGGATTTCACACTGTTCTGGATTTGGATACTGGGTCAGGTATAGTTTAATAGGCAGCATATGTATTACAAGGCCCTGAGTTGGGTTCACCAAGCAGCCCTGAGTGGCCCTGGTGGTCCCCAACAGCAATGTGAGCTCAAGCACCAAGTTTCAGGTACTGCCAAGTGGTCCCAAGGCCCCCTGAGTACCACTAGGTATCCCTGACTACCCTTCTAAGCCCATTAAAAAAAAACAGCTGGATTCTTACAAGAGAACTAAAATGGGGTAAGGAATAGAGAAGATCCAGTGGATTATAGTGGAGGACGAATAGTATTTTGGTGGTAGATGTGGCATCAAAAAAATACATTTGAAATAGTATGAGTCTATAGTATAAGTCAGGAAAATCAGAGTCAGGAGGACAGGCTAATGGTTGTAAACTTGCCACATGTGTGTGGGGGACAAAGGGCAATTACAGATAGAGAAGAGACCAGTATGACAAATAATAATTAGAAATGATCACTCTGAACTGAGTGTTGAAAGTAGGTAAAGGGATCACGGTCACAGTTCTCCCGTTGTTCATCGATTTGCTCAAGCGGGCCCAGCAACGGCTCCATCGTGAGACTTCTTGTTACTGCGTTTTGCATATTGAATACATCACAGGGAGCTTGCCAGGCTTTGTCATGTGGGCCAGATACTCTCGGTAGCTTGCCAGGCTCTCTGAGAGGGGCAGAGGAATCGAACTCGGGTCGGCCATGTTGGCTGCGTGCAAGGCAAACGCCCTACCCCCTGTGTTATCACTCCAGCCCAGGTAAAGGGATATACATGATAACCTTTCAGTGTCTGTACTGCAGAACTATAATGCCCAAAAGGAAAGTAGCAGGGAAGGAGAGAGGGGAAGAAGAGAGAGGGAAGAAGGGAGGAAGGGAGGGAGGGAGGAAGGGAGGGAGGGAGGGAGGGAGGGAGAGGGACAGGAGGCAGAGGTGGAGGAGAAAAAGGAGAAGGAGAAGGAGAAGGAGATACCTGTCACAGAGGCAGGCAGGGGCATGGGAGGGAAACTGGGAACATTAGTGGTGGTAAATGTACTCTGGTGAAGGGACAGGTGTTGGAAGATAATATGACTGAAACCCAATCATTAACCTTATAAATGTGTATCTCACAGGAATTCAACTAAAACTTTTTAAATACATGTGAAGTATGAGCTTGTTCTCCTAAAACAAGTATTGGTGAGCCAGGGATGCGACTCCAGAAATAGAGCACCTACCTTGCATGTATGAGGCCTCGGGTTCAACCCCAACACCACACAAACACACAAAATTGTTGTAAACCAACGTTACCACATTTGAAAAGTGTTCAATTAAAAGTATTCTATAAAATATTAACATGTATTATCTCATTTTAGACTCTCAACAATGCAGAAAATGAGAAAACACATATTAAAGACAGACTACAGCAGGTACTATCAAGTACAGCAGCAGGTACCACTTGCTTTGCAAGTATCCAACCTGGGATCGATGCCCAGCACCACATATGGTTCCCAGAGCACATCAGGAATAATTCCTGAGTGCAGAGCCAGGAGTAACCCCAGAGCATTGTCAGGCTAAAAACAATTGGCCCAAAAATAAACAAACAAACAAAAAAGACAATCAATGAAACAGAGAAGTAATTTGTCCAAAGTTATACTGCCAAGATTGCAGTTGCTGAGGATTTACTTAAGTCATTTCAATTTCATTACTCACTATTATTATCTGACACCATCACTTTTCAAATAAAAGGTCATGAAATCAGAATATTTCGTGACCTGGGGATCATGAAATCAAAAGATTGCTACCAGCTCTGTTTCCAATGAATGTGGAAATTACAGAAAATACCAAGATACATCACATGTAGTAAGTGCATCATTCCACAAAATTTTTGTTTCAGTTGTGTATATGAATGGGCATAAGGGTTATGATATAAATATATTTCTTATTGTTTGTAGAGGTTGCAGAAAATATTCAAAGGTACTTAAAACTTGCAATTTTGAAGTACCTTAATTTGCTATTTGAAGTACCTTAATTTGCAATCAGCAGCCAAAGAAGCAGACTGATTAGATCTTTTAATATATAATTAAGCACTTAGATATAAAGTATTCAAAACAGTAAGTGTTCCTGAATAAAAAATAATAATCACAACCTTAATCACTTAATCACTTAACTTCCCGTTAGTCGTCGATTTGCTCGAGCGGGCGCCAGTAACATCTCCATTTGCCCCTGTCGCGTGCTAGTGTAGCCCAATGGCATCTGTTCGCTCCGGGAACATGAAGGGCCTCAAACCGATCGTTCATGATCTTGATGAAGAAGTCTGACCATCTGGTAGGTGGGCGGCCACGCGGTCTTTTGACATCCCGTGGAATCCAATCAGTAACAGCTCTAGTCCAACGGTCGTCTTTAAATCTCATTACGTGACCAGCCCATCTGATTTTCGACGCCTTGGCAAATGAGACAGCGTCCCTGATTCTTGATCGTCGACGGATGTCAGAACTCCGGATTCTTTCTCTCATTTGAGTGAAACGTGATATTCCAAGCATAACTCTTTCTATTCTTCTTTGGGAGACCTGAATAGCGTTCTCATCCTGTTTGCGTAGGGCCCAGGTCTCTGAGGCATATGTTAATGCAGGAAGAACAGTGGAATCAAAGAGATGTGCCCGGAGCCGGAGGTTCTTCATCCTCTTAGCTATTTCTTCGATGTTCTTGAAGGTGTTCCAAGCCGCTCTCTTCCTCCTGCGCAGCTCGGGTGCCAGGTCATTTGTCATGTTGACTTCTCGACCTAGGTACACATAGCTGTTGCATTCGGAGATGGTCGTTCCATTGAGAGCGAATGGGGCGTCAGGAACAAGGCTGTTTCGCATAAACATTGTCTTCGTGAGATTCAGCTGTAGTCCTACCTTTCCACACTCACGGTCAAAGTCGGCCAGCATTTGTGCCGCTTGGCTGATGTTTGAAAGAATTTTGTGTATTAAAATTATTGTCTAAATAGGTTGTGATGTTGATGATGATGTTTTCATAACATCACAACCTATTTAGACAATAATTTTAATACACAAAATTCTTTCCACTGATTGTATAAAAATACAACATAGGCGAGGGGAGGGGGAGAGCACAGAGGTAGAGTGAATGTGGCTGACCTGGGTTCGATCCCCAGAATCCCATACTCCTGAGCACCACCACAAGTGATCCCTGAGCAGAGCCAGGAATAATCCCTGAGCATTGTTGGGTGCAACCCCAAAACAAACAAAAAAGCACAACATGGGGGGATATGGTTCTGCCAGCAGGTCAATCTGTACCTGTGAGGTGAGTGCATCAGCAGCCTGATGGTGCCTTCAGACTTCCAGATACCCCAAAATTGCTGCTGTGCCTTTGGTCAGACCCCAAAAACTTGGGGCAAAGTTTACCAAGAAAGTAAATGGCCAAAAGTTAGGTATGTGGGAAACACACCCACAAACCACCTCCGGCTCAGCTATATAATTGGAGGCATGGCCTCTCTGGTTCCTGATCAAACTGCTTAATGGCCATGATCCCAGAGACTCAGAAACAAATCTCGAAACCCAATGGCTTTTGGCAGAAATGCGTCCAGTCCCTGCAGCAGGTTACAGGCACTGGGCCAGCCCAGGTGAGAATAGATTTCGTGCCTTGGCCTGTTCCCCCTGGTGGCCCGGTAGCCGCCATCCTCCAGAGGCCACTGGAGAGTCAGGTTTGGGCCAGCAGTGATGAGACACATGGGGCCTCATGGAATGGGGGTGGAGCCGGCCCTTTCCTCCCCATCCCAACAAGACCCCGAGTCACCACCCATGAATGGCCTATCTGGCTCCTGATCAAGCTGCTTAATGGGCATGATCCCAGAGGCTCAAAAACAAATCCCAAAACCCAGCAACTTTTGGCAGAAATGCTTCCAGACCCCACAGTAAGTTACTTTTGCCGGCCACCCCAGGAGGGAAAGGGTGCTGTCCCTCCACCTGCTCCTGCCAGAGGCCATCGGACAGTCAGGTTTGAGCCCTCAGTGACGAGACACACAGGGTCTCACAGGATGGGGGTGGAGCCGGCCCTTCCCTCCCACCCCAACAAGACCCCGAGTTGCCACCAACGAATGGCCTCTCTGTCTCCTGATCAAGCCGTTTAATGGCCAGGATCCCATAGACTCAGAAACAAATCTCAGAACCCAGCGTCTTTTCACAGAAATGCGTCCAGTCCCTGCAATAGGTTACTGTCACCAGGCCATGCCTAGGGGAAAGGGTGCTGTCCGTCCACCTGCTCCACCTTGACGGCTCGGTGGCTGCCATCCTCCAGAGGCCACTGGACAGTCAGGTTTGGGCCCGCGGTGACGAGACACATGGGGACTTTCAGAATGAAGGTGGAGCCGGCCCTTTCTTCCCCATCCCAACAAGACCCCAAGTCGTCACCCACAAATGGCCTTTCTGGCTCCTGATCAAGCTGCTTGACGACCAAGATCCAAGAAACTCAGGAACAAATCTCGGAACCCAGCAGGTTTTGGCAGAAATCCCTCCAGATATAATTGTTAAAATTTTGGAATTTCAGGGGGTATGGTGCCGCCAGCAGGTCAATCTGTACCTGTGAGGCGAGTGCATCAGCAGCCTCATGGCGCCTTTAGACTTCCAGATACCCCAAAATTGCTGCTGTGCCTTTGGCCAGACCCCAAAAACTTGGGGCAAAGTTTACTAAGAAAGTAAACAGCCAAAAGTTAGGTATGTGGGAAACACACCCACAAACCACCTCCGGCTCAACTATATAATTGGAGGCAAGGCCTCTTTGGTTCCTGATTGAACTGCTTAATGGACATGATCCCAGAGACTCAGAAACGAATCTCAGAACCCAGTGGCTTTTGGTAGAAATGTGTCTGGTCTCTGCAGTAGGCTACCGGTGCTGGGCCAACCCAGGTGAGAATAGGTTTCGTGCCTTGGCCTACTCCCCCTGGCGGCCCAGTGGCCACCATCCATCTGAGGCCACATTTGGGCCCCCAGTGACGAGACACACAGGGCCTCACGGGATGAGGGTGGAGCCGGGCTTGTCCTCCCCACCCCAACGAGACCCCAAATCATCGCCCACAAATGGCCTCTCTGGCTCCTGATCAAGCTGCTTAACTGCCATGATCCCAGAGACTCAGAAACAAATCTCAAAACCCAGCGGCTATTGGCAGAAATGCATCCGGACTCCACAGTATGTTACTGTCGCCGGGCCACCTCAGGGAGGAAAGGGTGTTGTCCCTCCGCCTGCTCCCTCTTGGCGACTTGGTGGCTGTCATCCTCCAGAGGCCATCGGACAGTCAGGCTTGGGCCCGCAGTGACAAAACTTGTTGGGTCTCACGGAATGGGGGGGGGAGGTGGAGCCGGGCCTGTCCTCCCCACCCTAATGAGACCCCCAAGTCATCGCCCACAAACGGCCTCTCTGGCTCCTCATCAAGCTGCTCAATGGCCTTGATCCCAGAGACTCAGAAACAGATCTCGAAACCCAGCGGCTTTTGGCAGAAATGTGTCCGGACCCCGCAGTAGGTTATTGTCGTCAGGCCACCCCAGGGGGGAATGGGTGCTGTCCCTCCGCCTGCTCCCTCTTGGCGACTTGGTGGCTGTCATCCTCCAGAGGCCATTGGACAGTCAGGCTTGGGCCCGCAGTGACGAAACTTGTTGGGTCTCACGGATGGGGGGGAGAGGTGGAGCCGGGCCTGTCCTCCCCACCCTAATGAGACCCCCAAGTCATCGCCCACAAACGGCCTCTCTGGCTCCTCATCAAGCTGCTCAACGGCCATGATTCCAGAGACTCAGGAGCAGATCTCTAAACCCAGTGGCTTTTGGCAGAAATCCCTCCAGATTTAAGTGTTAAAATTTCAGAACTTCAAAACCACATGGCCCTACTGCAGCCACATGACATCATATGTTATTCATAACCGGCAATAGAACACAAATTGTCTATTGTTGCCTTTTCAGCAGATCTGAGTGTTGGGGTAAAATCTTAAATAATGGTGGGTCTGGTGTCAAAATACTGAATGTGATCAAAGTAGAGAGAGAGTAATGTAGAAATCATCTGCCCCACAGGCAGGGGGAGGGTGTGGGATGGGGGTATACTGGGATTTTTGGTGGTGGAGAATGGGCACTGGTGAAGGTACGGGTGTTTCATTGTATGACTGAGACTTAGACCCAAAAGCTTTGTAACTGCTCTCACGGTGATTCAATAAATAAAATTATAAAAAATGGAAAAAGAAAAAAGTAAGGTGGAGTTCATGCACAATTCAATCAGCTAATCAGTGGCTGAATAAATAGCAGTACTCCTACAAAAAAAGGAAAAAAAATTTTGGAATTTCAAAATTCTGTGGCCACTGCTGCAGCCACGTGACATCATGTGTTATTCATAACCAGCAATAGAAAACAAATTTTCTACCGTTACCTTTTCAGCAGATCTGAGTGTTGGGGTAAAATCCCAAATAATAATGGTGGGTCTGGTGTCAAAATATTAAATGTAATCAAAGTAGAAAAAGAGTAATTGGAAATCATCTGCCACACAGGTAGGGGGAGGGTTTGGAATGGGGGTATACTGGGGTTTTTGGGGGGTAGAGAATGGGCACTGGTGAAGGTATAGGTGTTTCATTGTATGACCAAAACTTAAACCCAAAAGCTTTGTAACTGCTTTCACAGTGATTCAATAAATAAAATTATAAAAAATGAAAAAAAATGTAAGATGGAGTTCATGCCCAATTCAATCAGCGAATCAGTGGCTGAATAAATAGCAGTACTCTTACATTAAAAAAAAAAGTACAACATGGGACCTCCATCACTATTACCACATATTACTCATTACTATCACTTATGAATTACTAAGCATGAATATAATGCAAGGAACTTTTACAGACTTTGTTTTCTGAGTTTTTTGGGGGGGATTGTTTTTTTGGCTACAAATGGTGATGCTCAGGGGTTACTCCTGGCTCGGCACTAAGGAATTACTCCTGGCAGTGGTCAGAGGACTATATGCAATGCCAGAGAATGAGCCAAAGTTGGACGTGTGCAAGGCACTCACCTTACCCACTGTACTATCTCTCTGGCCCCATATTGTTGTCAGTTTAAAATGGGGAGGAGGGGCTGTAGCAATAGTACAGTGGGTATGGCATTTGCCTTGTACGCAGCCAACCCGGGTCCAATTCCCAGCATCCCATATGGTCCCCTGAACACTGTCAGAAGTGATTTCTGAGTGCAATGCCAGGAGTAACCCCTGAGTATTGCCAGGTGTGACTCAAAAAGCAAAAAATAAATAAATAAATAAAATATAAGTAGACTACAGACCAAACACGATGGCCACTCAATACTTCTATTGCAAACCACAACACCCTAAAGGAAAGAGAGCAAAAGGGAAGGCTCTGCCACAGAGGCGGGGCGGGGTGGAGGGGTGGGAGGGCTACTGGGATCATTGGTGGTGGAGAATGGGCACTGGTGGAGGGATGGGTACTCGATCACTGTATAACTGAAACCCAAACATGAAAGTTTGTAAGTCTACAATTGTACCTCATAGTGTTTCACTAATAAAAAAATAAATTAAAATAAATTAAAAAAAGAAAGACAGTTCAAGAGAACAATCTAGAAGTTCATATGGACAAGACATAAAAGATGGCCAGAACAATCTGTGTAAAAAGACTAAGAACCAAAAAGAGATGAACTCTGACCTCTGTCTAATACCAGGCACAAAAGACAGATCAAAGTGGATTAAAGACCTCAATATCAGACCTGAATCCATGAGATATAGGGAGGAAAATATAGGCAGAACCCTCCATGACACTGAAGCTAAAAGCTTCTTTCAGGATGAATCATCACCAATCAAGTGGGAACACACATAAACAAACGGGATTACATTAAACTAAAGCTTCTGCACCTCAAAAGAAACAGTGACCAAAATACCGGGGAAGCTCACGGAATGGGAAAGAATATTTGCCCTTCTAATAAGGGGTTAATATCCAGGACATACAAGACACTAGTAGAATTGTATAAGAAAAAATCCTACAACCCCATCAAAAAATGGGGAGAATAAATGAACAGAAGCTTTCTCAAAAAAGAAATACAAATGGCCAAAAGGCACATGAAACAATGCTCTACATCACTAATCATCAGGGAGATGCAAATCAAAACAACAATGAGATATCTGGCACACATCAAAACACAGTAACAACCAGTGTTGGCATGGATGTAGGGAGAAAGGGACTCTCTTTCATTATTGGTGGGAATGCTGACTGGTCCAGCCTTCTTTGAAAACAATATGGGTATTTCTCAAAAAACTAGAAACTGAGCTTCCATACTCCCCCCAATACCACTTCTGGGAATATATCCCGAGGGTCCAAAAAAGCACAGTAGAAATGACATCTGCACCTGTATGTTCATTGCAGTATAGGTCACAATAGCTAAAATCTGGAAACAACCCGAGTGCTTTAGAACAGATGACTGGTTAAAGAAACTTTGGTATATCAATACAATGGAATACTATGCAGCTGTTAAGAAAGATGAAGTCATGAAATTTGCTTATAAGTAGATGGTCATAGAGTGTAAAATCTTATCACGCCTAAGGTTGTGTGTTCACGGGCTCACCGGATGGCACTGTCTCACCGCCCGCGTTTGGTGCTCTTGAGCCGCTGTGTGTGGTCTGGATCAGAACAGCTGTTGCCAAAGGCAGATGGAAGAAGAAACGAGGGCCAGGCCGGTCTATAATAACAGTAGTTTATTCCAATCCTCTTCACTCCTGTCTTTCTCTGCCTCCTTCTCTCCTGGGCCCCAATCTTGGAACCTCTCTCCTTCTGGCTCTGACTCTGGATCTCTGGAGCCCAAGCTCTCTCGCTTCTGACTCCCCTCTCCGAGCTTACGTCTTAGTTTATATAGCAGTCACATAAGGCGGTGACATAAAGGTGGGTTGAATACTGACGAATCAACAAAGAGAGGTAAGACCACTCCTCCAGGAGATTAACTCAAGGATAAAATCTCATCTACAGAGATTACTTCAGATTACTAGGAGATCCACTCAAGGGTGGGATCGCAACAAGGGTGTGTTCTTCCCTCAGTTAGTAATCTACTTAAATAGTTGTAATAAATCTACTTCTAATATTTCTAGCAATGTCATTCTGTATGAGCACAGTAAGAGATATAAACTTAGTTTGGTTCTTCCTGAGAACATCTCACTATACATTCCGCAGTCCTCAGGCCAGGTTAATCTTCCTAGCTCCAGCAGGGTCCTAGTCTCGTCGGTACTTACTTTTGGATCATGACAGCATTTGTCCATGATCATGCCCTCAACTTATAGTTGAGTATCGTGGCTCTTTGGCCTGGCCCATTTCGATGCCAGGGTAGCTCACAGCTTGCCCTGGGTCCATTCAGTCCCTCGTCGGGACCCTGCTTTTGGGGTGCTAGGAACTAAGGGCAACTGAGTCAAGAAATCAGATGCCCAGGAGTAAATATTATTCGGAGTCAATCAACTCCCAAGTTACAAAGCATAATATTAACTGTCTTCCTGTGTCCACACAAAAAGGACATTGCTTACAATACAAGTTCAGTGTTCTTAGATGGGTGTGACCTGACAAACCTAAGCTACCTGAGGAAGGACAAAAGAGTGTTATCCTACAACAGAGAGTATCATGCTAAGTGAAATGAGTCAGAAAGAGAGGAACAAACATAGAATGACTGCACTCATTTGTGGAATATAAAATAACATGAGACTGATACCCAAGGACAGTAGACACAAGAGCCAGGAATATTGCTCCATAGTTTAAAGCCTGCCTCATGAACTGGGGTAGAAGGCAGCTGGAAAAGAGAAGGGATCACTAAGTCAATGATAATTAGAGGAATCATTTGGGATGGGAGATGTGTGCTGAAAGTAGATAAAGAACCAAACATGATAGCCTCTCAGTATATTGCAAACCACAATGCCCAAAACAAGAGAGAGAGAGAGAGAGAGAGAAAGAGAGAGAGAGAGAGAGAGAGAGAGAGAATATGGGGGAAACTGTCTGCGATAGAAGCAGGGGGAGGGCTGGATGGAGGGAGGTATACCAGGGACATTGGTGGTGGAAAATGTGCACCTGTGGAGGGATGGGTGTTTGATTATTGTATGACTGAAACTCAAACATGAAAACTTTGTAACTGTATCTCATGGTGATTCAATTAAAAAAAAAAAGAAAAAGACCAAGAACCAAAACTAGTATCAAGAAAGTTGATCATTTCTTTTTAATCAGAAGGACGGTGCTGTTTACTAGATGCTGTGACAAGATCTTTTCGTGTGTATGAATACACAAATAGTGGAAGTATCTTGGTCTCAGAATAATAGTACAGCATATAAGGAGCTTGCCTTGCATGAAGGCAACCTAGATTCGATCTCCCACTAGGTATGATTACTGCGCACAGAGCCAAGAGTAAGCCCTGTGTACCACTAGTGTGCCCCATCCTCACCCCCCAAAAAAGGTGTATGACCTTTAATGGTCAAGTTACAAAAGTTAAAAACTTAACCAAAGAATTGTTAGAAAAGTGTTGGCTGTATTACTTGTATTAAATGGGATTTATTTTGATGCCTCTGCATGTATTCTACTGTTTCAATCATTTCTTAATGGTCACTGTCCTCCCGTTGTTCATCGATTTGCTCGAGCGGGCCCAGTAACGTCTCCATTGGAGACTTTGTTGTTACTGTGTTTGGCATATCAAATACATCACGGGTAGCTTGCCAGGCTCTGCCGTGCGGGCGAGATACTCTCGGTAGCTTGCTGGGCTCTCTGAGAGGGGTGGTGTAATATATAATTTAGCCTGTAATGTTATTAACAAGAAAAGATACCTTCCAAAAGGGAGGCAGGTGCATTATATGCTGCTTCATAAAGGCTTGCTCTTGTTGATTTGCATTCCCTTCTATTGTGCCATCTTCTAAAATATCTTTGTTAGCCCTAGTTATATTTCCCCTTCAACTTGGTCCACAATACATTCCAATAGTGATTTCTAGAGTGAAGTAACTTAAAGCTTAGAATTACAAGACCTTTAACATGGAGAACGAATTCGCATGTCTGAGATAGGGAGGGCTTTTTAGGTATGTTACAGGCTTTCTTTAAACTACTTAACTTGGGCTGGAGTCGTAGCTCAACAAGCTGAGTGTGTGCATTGCACATAGAAAGCCCAGAGCCAGGATAAAGTCCTGCCCCCAGCACTACCAAGTAAGACCTCCAAAAAGAAACCAGTTAATTTATGCTCTATAGTAACTGTTGGTTTGGGCTAGAGACATAGTACCATGGTAAGGCACTTGACTTACAGTACAGTACAGGGCCAACTGGGTTCGATTCCCAATACCCAATATGACCCCCCCACGTCCCTCCAGGAGTGATCACTGAGTGCAAAGCCAGGAACAAGTCATGAGCACTGCCTGGATTTGACCCCCATCCTCCCCCACAGCCCCCCCAAAAAATTTCCAATGTGTGTCACCACTACAGACTATTTTAAGATTGAAATGCCTTTTCACATTTTTTAATGAGGTAACAAGCTAATTTTAATAGCCCAATCAAAGAGCTAATGTTCATGCTTTGCGAGCAGAACTGGGTTCTGTCCACAGCACCACATGAGGACCCCAAGTACCAGAGCAACCCATGAGCACTATTGCTGTAGCCCAAAAGCAAAAAGAAAAAATGATGGAAAAAAAAAGAAAAAAATGATGGAAACAATTGAAATTCAGGCAAAATGTTTTACCCACAATCTGACAGCAAGTATATATAATCTGACACCAATATATCACTAATATGGAATATTTCCATAAATATGAGGAAAACAACTGTCTTTATGACTGTAAAATCTTACTCATTTAACTTAGTACTAAATTAATGAAGTATACATCAGATATAATTTAGTGACCTTTAATATATTTTAATGACTTCACATTTTTCAGTTTTCATTATGTTAATATACTTTGTGTTATTTCTTAGATTTTCTTCTGCTACTGAAGTTGTTGGTAATGAAATTTGCAAAGGTTCAACTTTCAGTAATCGCATTGACCTTCTGCATATAATCTCATTTTCTTGCCTCTTAGGCTTCTTTCTAAAGGAGAAAGAACTCATGTTAAACTCATAAAACAGTTGTATATTGTCCCAATAGTAAGGAATGTATTCTATATATTTTTACATATATTGCAAAGATGTCTGTACATTACAATACCAATTTTAATTAAAAATCTGTAAAACAGGGACCAGACAGATAGTACAGCAGTGTAGGATAACACTCTTTTGTCCTTCCTCAGGTAGCTTAGGTTTGTCAGGTCACACCCATCTAAGAACACTGAACTTGTATTGTAAGCAATGTCCTTTCTGTGTGGACACAGGAAGACAGTTAATATTATGCTTTGTAACTTGGGAGTTGATTGACTCCGAATAATATTTACTCCTGGGCATCTGATTTCTTGACTCAGTTGCCCTTAGTTCCTAGCACCCCAAAAGCAGGGTCCCGACGAGGGACTGAATGGACCCAGGGCAAGCTGTGAGCTACCCTGGCATCGAAATGGGCCAGGCCAAAGAGCCACGATACTCAACTATAAGTTGAGGGCATGATCATGGACAAATGCTGTCATGATCCAAAAGTAAGTACCGACGAGACTAGGACCCTGCTGGAGCTAGGAAGATTAACCTGGCCTGAGGACTGCGGAATGTATAGTGAGATGTTCTCAGGAAGAACCAAACTAAATTTATATCTCTTACTGTGCTCATACAGAATGACATTGCTAGAAATATTAGAAGTAGATTTATTACAACTATTTAAGTAGATTACTAACTGAAGGAAGAACACACCCTTGTTGCGATCCCACCCTTGGGTGGATCTCCTAGTAATCTGAAGTAATCTCTGTAGATGAGATTTTATCCTTGAGTTAATCTCCTGGAGGAGTGGTCTTACCTCTCTTTGTTGATTCGTCAGTATTCAACCCACCTTTATGTCACCGCCTTATGTGACTGCTATATAAACTAAGACGCAAGCTCGGAGAGGGGAGTGAGAAGCGAGAGAGCTCGGGCTCCAGAGATCCAGAGTCAGAGCCAGAAGGAGAGAGCGTCCAAGACTGGGGCCCAGGAGCGAAGGAGGCAGAGAAAGACAGGAGTGAAGAGGATTGGAATAAACTACTATTGATATAGACCGGCCTGGCCCTCGTTTCTTCTTCCGTCTGCCCTTGACCAACAGCCGTTCTGATCCAGGCCACACACAGCTGCTCAAGAGCACCGAACGCAGGCGGTGAAACAGTGCCGTCCAGTGAGCCTGTGAACATACAACCTTTGGCGTGATAAGATTTTACACAGCAGGTAGGGTGCTTGCCTTGCATGCAGCTGACCTAGATTTGATTCCTCAATTCCCAGATGATCACCTGCCAAGAGTGATTGATCCCTGAGCGCAGTGCCAGAGTAAGCCCTCAGCATAGCCAGGTATGGCCCAAAAACAAATTTTTATAAAATCTCTAAATATCATAAAAATTAATCTTGGGGAAGGCAGATTAGACTTTAGGTAAATTGCACATACTTATCTGATAGAATAATATGTAGCAATAAAAAATAAAGTAGATATCCATATGCTGATGAGTTAAACTCTAAGATATAAACAGCGGGGGGGGAGAGGGGGACAGAGAATTAGCACAACAGATAGTGTGTTAACCTTGCAAGCAGCTAACCCCGGTTCGATCTATGCACCCTATATGCCACACAACTCCCACCCTCTCAAGCCCCACAAGGAGTGATCCAAGAATGCAAAACCAGGGGCTGGAGCGATAGTACAGTGGGTAGGGTGTTTGCTTGCACACGGCCGACCAGGGTTAGATTCCCAGCATCCCATATGGTCCCCCTAGCACTGCCGGGAATAATTCCTGAGTGCAAATCCAGGAGTAATCTCTGTGCATCGCTGGGTGTGACCAAAAAAGAAAGAGAGAAAGAAAGAGAGAGAGAGAGAGAGAGAGAGAGAGAGAGAGAGAAAGAAAGAAAGAAAGAAAGAAAGCAAGCAAGCAAGCAAGCAAGCAAGCAAAGCCAGGAATGAGGCCTCAACACCATGAGGTATGGACCAAAACACAAAAATGAATACAGCCAACTCACCTTTGACAAAGAAGTAAAGAGAAGACAATGGAGCAAAAATGGTCTTTTCAGCAAAACACATTCACATGCAAAAATGAACATAAATACAGATGGGCCGGAATAACAGTACAGTGGGTAGGGAATCTGCCTTGCATGGTTAGATCCAGGATAGATCTCCAGCACCCCATACAATTCCACAAGAAGTCTACCAGGTGTGTTCCCTGAGCACCACCAGGCACTGCCCAAAAAACAAAAAATAAAAATAAACCTAGACACAGACCTACAGTCTTCACTCGCATTAACTATACTGATTCAGAGGCCTAAATGTTTAAAACACAAAACTATAAAACTCATAAAAAAATAATATAGAAAAGACCCTCAGTGACTTTAGTTATAACACCTCCCCGCTTCACCCTCTCAGCTTTGTTACTACTGCTGCAAATATTTCGGTAGTGTTCTCCAGGGGTTATACATTTATTAAAATGCTCACATACTCGACCTTGGTGCTGGTCTGGGGTCACATACTTTAATGGTGATGCCTGCCCGGAAATGTACTCATTTAGCAGCAGTGCTCAAGCACATTCTGGCTGCAATGATCCCAGAGGGGTTGCCGTGGGAGGGACACACACTTGCTCTCTTAGAGTCACACTCCTGCCACAGTGTGTGCACATCTTCAGCTGCTCTGCTTGCTAACTGCATACTTTATCTGCAGTGCTTGCACACACACAAACACCTGGCTGTGCACCAGAGACTGCACACACCATTGCAGCTCTGGAGATTCCAGACACAAGACACCAAGACTAAGCTCAGTGCATGAGTGGCACTGGGGGGTTGAACTCACAGTCTCACATGGAGAAAGCAGGTACTTTTAGCAAATAACTCCTCCTCCTGGGCTGAAAATGACTTTTTGTTTTTGTTTTGGGGTCATACCTGGCAGTGCTCAGGGATGACTCCTAGCTTGAGGAACCATATGAAGTATTGGGCATGGAATCCAAATTGGCAACATGCAAAACAACCACCCTATACACCAGACTATCTCTTCAGCCCCCAAAAATGTTTGTGTTTTTTTTTTTGAGACAACAACAACAAAAACATGAAAATGAAATAAAAGGGCTTAAATAGTACAATGGGTAAAAGCACTAGCCTTATACATGGCTGATTCAGGTTCGATCACCAGTACCCCTGTACCTGAGCCTGGTTCATTCACCAGTACCTGAGTCTCACCAGAAGTGATCCCTTTGAGCAGAGCCCTGAGCACAGCCAGGTGTGGCAAAAAAAAAAAAAAAGGTAAGGTAAATGTAATAAAAATTTTAAACTTCTGGGATAGGAGTTATAGTAAGGCAGGTAGGGCATTTGCCCTTGACATAGGTTCAATCCCTGCACCCCATATGGTACTCAGAGTACCACTAGCAGTAATTCCTGAGTGCAGAGCCAAGAATAACATGGAGTATCCCCCAGGTGTAGCCCTAAAACAAAAAAAAAATTTTAATTTCTGAAGCTAGTAAGTTTATTCAGGGGCCAAAGGCCCATGCTCTGCAGGTGAAGAACCCTGATTCAATACCTGGCATCATATAGCCCCACCAAGCACCATCAGGCCTGAGCAACACTAACCTCCAGCCACAGCTTTGAACCATCCTGCCCAGTTGGTCACAGGAGTTGTCTGGAGTCCTCTAAGCACTGCTTGGAAGCATCCCCCCCCCCAAAAAAAAGGAGGAGGAGGAGGAAGGAGGAGGAAGGAGGAGGAAGAAGGAGGAAGGAGGAAGAAGGAAAGAGGAAGGAGGAGGAAGGAGGAAGAAGGAAGGAGGAAGGAGGGAGGAGGGAGGAGGAGGAGGAGGAGGAGGAGGAGGAGGAGGAGGAAAGAAAATGTAAAGTATCTGTTCTCCAAAGCACAGTATCAAGAGAGTAAGCAACAAGTCATGTGCAACACAGCCTTTAATTGATAACTGAAAAACTCACACTTATATTGGAGGTTCATGGATCTGAGACAAAAGCAGAAGCAGCACAACAGCACATAGAACAGGTGTGGAAACTAAGAGGCTTTCCCCCAGAGAACAATGGGATACAAGGAGCTGAAGATCCTGACCTAACACAGATAAAATCTCACCAAGGGGGTACAACAAATTGCTAGAAAACAAAGAGCCCAGAACCCACTGTGTGAGTTGGGAGGTGGGAGGTTCTTTAAAATTTTTAAATTTTTATTTACTTATTATTTTTAGAGTATTACAAAGCCGTTCATGACTGGATTTCAGGCATACAGTATTCCAACACCCATCCCTGGTGGGAGGGGTTCGAGGCCATCAGACAGTACCTGTCTACCAACACAATGCCTGCGAAAGGTAGTGACTGATATCTGAGCACGTAACTCCCAGGGGGTAGGCAGGTACAGTTTGAAGCTTTGGGACAGACCCATTTAGAGTTACTGGAGATGAATGACTTTAACCTATGGCCTCCTCACAAGAGACCTCTGTCCTCTGGGCTGCCCTATTTTGTGAAGTACTGCCCCATCCCATCCTGCAAGCCCAGAACTGGGACTAAGCTCCTCCTTTATGCCTCTGGTCAGAGCATAAAGCAACTGGAGCACTAGCAGCAGCAACTGCTGCACCTCCAGGTAACGTGTTCTTGGAAGCAGCTGTGAGCAGACCTCTATTGCAGTTCACAACAGTCACTCACTTCCCCCCATGGCGGCTCCCTCCCAGAATCACAAACCCAGAAAAAGAACCGAGGTCAGTGCAGGAAGTCAATCTTTGAAGGATGTCACCCTTACCTTCTGAGAAATAACCCACCCCCAACCCCTACACTTCATGAGCTGTGACTACTCGTGGGACTGAAGCCTGACTGAACGCACAGATCCAGGCTTTCTACATGCCTACGAAACACCTGAGGACCAAAGCAGCTCAGGGGGTCCAGACTAGCCTTAGCTGCTGGGAAAATCTCTGAGGAGAATCAGGCCTAGAGAAGATGGTAGCTGAGCAACCCCTCACTGGACACTAGCAGACAGGG